AAATATTGGAAGGCACAGGAGTTACCCACGCTGGAAGAGTGGCATACGCAACTGATGGACTACATGGAATTAGCTGAAATGACTGGCAGAATCCGAGACCTGGGAGAAGAGGCAGTGGAAGAGGACTGGAAAAATTTAAGGACTATCTACAAAAACACTATAAGTTATATGAATGTTGAGAATTTGCTAAGTTTTTGGGAAGAACATGCTTCAGTATTGAGATTTGAGAATGATGGAAACTAAGTTATGACTGTGAAAGCTTTAAATTTTAGAATATATAATTAGAAGAAAGTACAAAAACATATGAAACAAGGTTGCAATTTGCTGTTTATTTTTATTGTAAAGAAAGCAGGGACGGAAGATCTGGGGAAGTCTAGTTGATTATGAAAAAAGATATGGAAAAATGAATTTTCTTGTATACAATCGCTTCTTTTTTTCTGTAAAACCGCTTTTGTTGTGTTATTGATGATGTATCTTGACCTTGGAAAAAAAGCAATAAAAAATATTATATAAAAAAAATAAAAATAGAAATTTTAAAGAAAAAAAAATGGAGGGATGACTGCAGCTCAGAACCCCCAGACCACCTGATAAAAGCACCCACAAGACTACAGATTCTGAGCACTTTGGAACATTTTTGCTTAGATCTGATCAGGTGAGTCTACTTGAAATCCAAGTTGGTCAGATTCATCTTCTATTCCTAGCAGGATGTAAGGTTTGTTATTGACCTACCTCTCAATTCTTGTTTGCAGCAGACAAACCACATGCCCATGTTTATACATAACATTAAGACAAACCATAGCTTAGCTCTCATTCACACTAAGCTATAGTTTGGCGCAGCACTATGCGTGAATGAGGTAATTAAAAGCAGTGGGGCTCAATTCTATTCAGATTGGTTCAGGAGTAGCAGGTAAGATCTTTAAGAGTACTTTAGGCTGAAATCGATACACTTAAATGAACTCAGCCAGTCGGCATCATCACCTTCTCTGCAGAATTGGGGAGTGAGTATGAATGATTGGGGGAATTCTGCAGTGGTGGGGAGGAAACAGTGAACAAATGAAGGAGTGATAATGAGAAATAATAAATTTAAAATAAAAGCAGGTAAAATAAAAAACTGGGATGATAATTTATGATGGACTGATAATGATTTGCAAAGAAAAATAAAATTAAGGTTGAAATGAATTGATAATAATAACTAAAATCTCTTAAACTCAAACTTAATGGAAAAAGGAATAAAATGGGAGGGGAAAAGAGGGTTTTAATTTTGGGTGGTGGGTGGGAAGACTTGCCACAATACAACCACAACCACCTCATTAGGATGCTTCACTTGTTTATTTGGGAAATTTGTATTTGTATACTATTTATATTTAAACAAAACTCTGAGCTGTTTACAACACAGGTTAAAACACCCCAAATAAACAGTGACTACACAAAATATGAGAATTTCTACATTATATAAAACACAATTAATACCCAAATAGAGCATCATCTTCAGTTTCAAAATGAAACTTCTGAAGAAGTGTGCATGCACACAAAAACTCATACCAATAACAAACTTAGTTGGTCTCTAAGGTGCTACTGGAAGGATTTTTTTTTATTTCAAAATGAACATTACACATAAAAATCATCTTAAAAAATACAGGTAAAATTCATGGCACACAACTAAACACCCCTTAAATATCAGGAAGAAAAATATTCTGAATTATATGGAACAAGGCACTCCCCCTGCCCAAGTAGTCAACTGTATGTATCCTCTGTATATATTTTTTAAAGAAGTGTCAAGTTTCTGGCTCAATCACACCCCCTTTTCTGGCTTGGCCATGCTTCTAGTTACATAACTAAACTCAAATGAAGTTGATGACTGAGTAGAAATTTCAAGCATTGGCCTCTTAGATGTATTTTTTTTTAAAAAAAAAGTTGTGTTCTTTATTATCATTTGACAAAAGGGGGCACTGTGTGTACATTAAATCACTTCAGGTAATAACTATTATGTAAATAAACCTCCTTAGTGCCATTGGATAAGCTACTTCATGTGAAATTACACATTTTGTGGCCACTTTGCTAAATTGGATGCAAC